ATTAACTCTTCCGGTTGCTACTGCTACAGTTGAAAGCGTATTTTCTGCTATGAATATTGTGAACTGCGTAATCAGATTGGAGACCAATTGATGAATGATAGTTTAGTTGTGTATGTTGAAAAAAATGTATTTAATGAAATTATTAACGAGACTATTATACGGCGTTTTTAAAGTATGAAAAGTCGTAAGGAACAAATGTAAAAAATGTATTACATTTTGAATATTATCTTTATTGTTTAAAATTATTTTTTAGTCATTTAGTCTCGCCCCCCCGAAAGAATAATCCTGGGTCTGCCCCTAGTTTGAGCTAAAGAAAGCAGCTTTACGAGAGAACTAGAACTTAGATCAAACAAGTCATTACGGGGTCTTAAATTGGCTGAAAAAAATAATAGATGGTTTTCATTGACCATACCAAAACGCTCTTTTTAGCACTCTTTAGATTGGAAATAAAGAAGATCAGCTCTCTCACATATCCTTAGTTGAATGTGACCATGGATTAGGATACATTGTAAACCACTTAAATTCAACTGCCCTCAAAATTCATTGACCATACCAAAATGCTCTTTTGATAACTCTTTAGATTGCAAATGAAGAATATCAGCTCTCTCACATATCCTTAGTTGAATGTGACCATGGATTAGTGATAAACTGTAAACCACTTAAATTCCTCTCCCCCTCAAATTGTCCTATGTGACCCTCTAATCCATTTTGGGGTTATAGGATCTTTAGCATTTTCATCAATTCATTATTAAATTGTCATATAATGATAACGAAACATAGGTTTACCCATGTATATTCATCCACACACACATTGGTGACTCACAAGCCAATCTTCAATGGTGGGGAAACTAGCAATTTCCTAATGAGGTTTTGGTGCGCGTTTTTGTGTTGGTCTAAGCCCCTTTTCTATGTCGTTTCGTTGAGATATTTGACAACTATTTTGCAACTTCCCTATTGAAGTTATTGTGTTTTGGGACAAAAATTCACTTATCAAAAAAAAGTGTTTTGGGACAAACAAAAATGTAGAGTTGTTCAAATTTCTAGTTTATCTCCCAACAAAAGAACATGCATTCATTTGTTCATGTTAGAATTTTAAACTGTTGATTTTTCTTTTTTTTTTCCAACAAATTCAATGGGCTTGATAGTATTTAATGGATACACATTTTTGTTCAATAGATTTCACTACTTTGAATCGGCTTTCAATTTAGGAAGAGTGAGATTCTGAAACACATTTCCCCATTATCTTTTAGAGCTCTTAAAAATAACTAGTTTCATGTCATTTGGGAATTGATTGATCAAATGCCAATCCTCCCTCTCCCCTACCCCACATTATTCAGTTTTGAGGGCATTTATTTCTACATCTCCTGCCAACTGTGTTGAGTTGAAAAGGTTAGTATTGCGATCAGCAAATTCTTTCCATTTTACTCTAGATTCTTGACTGCAAATAATTCTTCTCGGATTAACTTTGTCATAGAGTGTAAAAAATACAAAGCTCATTCTTGTCCACTCCTTAAGGTAGCTGGAAAACCTATTACTATGCTCACCTAAAGATACAGTAGGAAATGGTAGTAATTAGCCAATGATGGAGGAGTTTGTAAACATAGCTAACAAGTAAAATACAGTTGTGATTAGAGATTGCCTCATGGAGGAGGAACTCTGCTACTTGCTTAGATAAATCCCGCCATCCAGTATTAGCACCAATAATGTCCGTATGTTGATGATATTAGCAAAAACTTTTTACAAGACTCTTGCAGTTGTCCTCTTCTCACTTTCTATATTTTTTTACTTAGTTACTTGTTCATCACAAAAATATATTATCACATAAGAACAGATAAGTGGTTAACTGGAGAGTTATATACGAACATTTTTATTGGTAAGGATGGGAACTCAAAGCGAATAATAGTAACAAGGGACTAAGAGACTGTGCAGTGTCAACCCAATACGCTACATCATCAATGGAAATTAAGGCAAACACTAACCATCCATTGTACCCCTCCTACTATGTTTAGTCTTTTTCTATGTGAAAAGTTATTCTATCCACCTCTCTTCTATTTTTGCCTCTCTCTTCCTAATCCATCTCCCTTCTTTCCTCAATTCCTTTCCTGCTGTTACTAAGTAAAACTCTATTCAGTTGCCCAAAATTTTTGATCAATCGCTAAATTCAGTTGCGTACCAATTTCTCATGCACAAACTTGATGGTTTTTTTTTTCCACACTTAATGTCACTAGTAAGGTAAAATCTGAACTCAAAATACAGTGAAATGATGAGATACATAAGTTCTTGCATTTCTTTGTTGATCCTTATACTCTGGGAAGAATTACACGGTGAACAATTTATTATAGTCACGTCTATGAACAATCAAGAGATCTAAATGATGTGATATATAAGTTCTCTCATCTCTTTGTCGATCCTTATACTCTGGCTTAAGCATTATGCTGTGAATAATTTATTAGAGGCACATTTATGGTTAGAGATGTAGCTGAATGACATATGAAATATGGCTGCATTGAAATCCAGCTTGTTTTTCATATAAACTGCTTTAGTTGTGTTTTTGGGAACTCAAAGTGAGTTGATATGCAGTTGGAGGTTGTTTTATGACTGGACAGGAGAAAAGGCATGCAATCTGAGTAGTCGTATCTACAGGGTTCCGTAAAAAAAGTATGTGTGAAATCTTGTGCTTGTTTTTGCATTTACTAGTTAGTTTATGTTATTTAGTGCTAAAATTGTTACGACGCGACTTTTGCCCTATAAAACAGGTTGCTAATATATTTGTGCAATTATGAGATGTAAAGTTTGTGATAGTAATAATTATAATGACCTTGAACAGTTTTATTCTGATAAAAAAATTATTTTATTTGTAACACAGTTATGGATGAGGTTCGCATTTTTGTAAACTATAATGGAAGGTGGGACGAGAATAATAGATACGTTGACAACGAAACGAAAGATGTATTGGTTCCTCTTGGAACGTCATATGTTGAGCTTTTGGAGATATTATTTGGTGCATTAGGTTTGGGGCCATTGTCCCAAACAATACGAATGAAGTATATAGCTGAAGTTGGAAGCTCGCCCATCAAAATATTGCATGACCGTGATGTGTTATTCTACTTGAAATTGAAAGAGAAGGATCATCAAATTGATAGCTACCCGATTTGTCTTGAGATTTTGAATGAGCCGATGAAGGAGATTTTGCCACCATCTTTAGAAGAGAATAACCATGTATCAGATGCAAACATTCTGTATTCACTGCATGAGTTCAACCCTGATCCACCAGTAGAAGCGAATGACAGGAGACTGAATGTGGGCACTGAAGATGAGCTAAATGATCTAAATGGTGTTTCAAATGCACAAGTTTTCGCTGAAGAAAGATTCATTGAATGTCAAACAGAACCTGCAAATGCCGATGATGGGCATAGAACAACTGAAGAGTTAGAATACGGTGTTAGAGATGTAATCACTGAGCTCTCGCCCATTGCCCTGAAAGTGAAAAATATTTATTCAAATAAAAAGGTATTAAAGAAACATCTAAGCATGCTTGCAATCAGCAAGGACTTTCAATTTAAGGTAAAGAGATCTACAACGAAATTACTACATGTGGTCTGTATGGATTCCAATTGCAAGTGGACAGTACGTGCTACAAAGCTTCAACAAAGCGATATGTTTGTTATAAAAAGATTTGATGAAATCCACTCATGCTCGCAGAATATTGTTCAAGGCGATCATCGCCAAGCTACTAGTTGGGTTGTAGGGGAATTATTGAAGAGAAAATACCAATTACCTTCCAGTTCAAATCTCAAACCTCATGATATTATTCAGGAAATGTGTCGAACTTATGGAGTGACAATACCTTACAGAAAAGCTTGGCGAGCAAGAGAACATGCATTGACAAGTTTGCGAGGCTCATATGAGGAAGCATATAGCTCATTGGCAAAGCACCTATACATGTTGGATAACAAGAATCCTGGATCACTTGTTGTCTTGGAGACAGAAGAAAACAATCGGTTCAAGTATGTCTACATTATTAAATTTGGTCATATTGATATTCATTATTTGATCATATTGTTAATGATTAGTTTATTTTCTTTTATGTTAATTGCTGCAGGTACCTCTTTATGTGCTTGGCTGCTTCCATTCAAGGTTGGCAGCATTGTCGACCTGTAATTGTTGTGGAGGGCAGCTTTTTGAAGTTTAAGTACGGTGGGACGCTGTTCACTGCTTGTGCTAAGGATGCCAATGAACAAATTTTTCCTTTAGCTTTTGGGATCGGAGAGTCAGAGAATGATGCTGCTTGGGAATGGTTTTTTATCAAGTTGAAGGAAGCGATTGGAGATCGTGAAGAGTTGACTGTAATTTCAAACATGGATACAAGTATCAGTAGAGCCCTTGAAAAAGTTTATCCAAATGCTGATCATGGTGTGTGCACGAATCATCTGTTGAACGATATGCAACTAAAGTTTGGAGGTATAGGCAAAGATCAGTCTACTTCCTTTTACAATGCTTCCAGAGCATATCTTGTGGAGGCATTTGAGTCTCACATGACCAACCTTGATATTATGGACCCATTTATCCGTAGATACCTTCAAGAAGTAGGGTATGAAAAATGGGCTCGAGCTTTTTTTAGTGGCCGTCGGTATTCAATAATGACAACTGATATAGTGGAATCAATAAATCCAGTTGAGGTGCAAGCAAGGGATATGCCAATCACGTGTTTGATCGAGTGGTTGAGGTCAATGGTGCAGAAATGGTTTTTTGAACGGCGTAGTGCAGCTAAATCCACATTCACAGCTCTTGCAACTGCAGCAGAGGATCGGTTGAGGCAGCAGAACACATTGTCGTTATCAATGGACGTAAGATACATTTTCCTCTATACTATAGTTGTTGGCAATACTGGTTATGATCTGGTAATTCTATACATGCATGACAAATTCTATTTAACAGGTACACCATACAGATGGCAATGTGTTTCGTGTTGTGGATCCAAAAATGCATTCATTTGTCATAAGTTTGCAATCGAAGACTTGTACTTGTAGAGAGTTCCAAGTTGATCAAATACCATGTCCACATGCTTTGGCTGTTATAAATACATGCAAGCTAAGTGCATACAACTACTGCTCTAGTTATTACTCGAAGGAATCGTTATTTGCATCGTATGCAGCAACAATTCATCCTCTAGGAAGCGAGTGCAGTTGGGTTGTTCCAGAAGAGGTCAAAAATAGAGTTGTTTTACCACCAATGTGGAGACGACGTTCTGATATGTCAAGAAGCCGAAAGACTGTTTTCGAAGGAGAGGAAACTAATTCGGTCACATGTTCTAGATGCAAGCATTATGGGCATAATCGAAGGACTTGCCCGAATTCAATCCCGCTTAGCCCAGAAAATTCAGATGACGACTGGTCTACGGGTCTAAGTGCCGCTAATAGTGATAATTAAGTGTTAAGCAATGAGTGTGATTTTACATGTAGGATTTGTGCTGTTATTTGGAGGTCTTGATGAAATTATAATTTGTTTGCTTTTGATTTATTTTTTTTAAAAGTAAATGCCATCTTGCTTATTTGAGGTTTTTAGGTTTTATCTATGGAGTTCTCTATGTTTTTGGCTTACGGCTGTTCGAAAATCGATACAGTTATAGTGCAAAGAAATTGAGAATTAGGGTTTCAAAGATGCATAAAATGCCCCCATAGAGCAAGTGAATGGCGGATAATTTGAGTGCTAAATTATATCTCTGTCTAGTATCCTTACTCAACGCAATGACCATTGTACCGTGACAGCCTCGCAGCTTCAGCCAAACCTGGAATTTCAGACTCATCAGTATTTTTAAGCAGCTGGTACCGTGACAGACACGTGGTCGTGGCGAGCCTTGAAACCAGATGGGCCATATTATCTATTTAAATTTGGTTATTGACATTATTGGGTGTTGATCAGTATATCCCCTTGTCTAGGTAGTTCATTTGCAATTGCATTTTTCTGCTTCGGATGTGTTTATGAGAACTCTAAAACCGTGTTGATCTGCAATTGGTGATTCATTAAAATGACGTAAACGATAGGAGACAGAACACAGGTAGTGATGTTGAGCTATCTGTCATTAACGGTTTTTCAAATACTCAATTATCCCTTGAAAAAAGATTTGCTGAAGATTCCAATAAAATTCATAGAGTGGGTGATGGAATGCGTTACTACTCCTTAATGCTCTATAGCACTTAATGGTAGCCTTCATTGATTCATAAAAGGAAGAAAGGGACCTCGTCAAGGGATCCTCTTATCACCTTTTTTGTTTGTTTTATGTCTTCAATATTTTTCAAGAACGTTGAAGGAGCTACCAAGAATAGTGAGTTCAATTTCCATTCTAAATGTGGCCATCTAAAGTTTACCCACTTGGCATTTGCGGATGATTTGATGGTTTTTGCTAGAGGAGACGTAATTTCGGTTGGTATTTTTTGAGTCGTTTATCAAACTTTGGAGATATGCGGGACTAAGAATGAATGTTATCAAGTCTAACTTATACACGACAGGAGTTCATGGTCAAGAGTTAGAGGATATCTATGCACTAACTAATATTCCCAAGGAATCTATGCCGTTTCGTTAATTGGGTATTCCACTTGCGGTGGAGAAATTGAAAATCAGCTCTAATGACTCGTTTATCAACAAAATTTCAGCCTATATTTGTGCATGGTCGAGGGCATGAACTTGTGAGCGCCATTCTTCAAGATGTTGAATGTTTTGGCTGTCCATTTTCCCCATTCCAGCCACGGTTACTTCAAAGGTCATTAGTCTTTGCTGGAACTTCTTTTGGGATCCAAAAAGCCACCGGTTGCTTGGAGTAACATTTGCTTGCCGAAACATGAGGGAGGGCTTGGATTTAGAGACATTAAAGCTGGAATTCAGCGCTACCATCCAAATCACTTTGGAATATTCATGGCAAGAAAGACACGCTTTGGATTAAGTGGGTAAATCAAGTCTACCTACGGCTACAAGGGACCAATATTTGGGAATGTATGGCACGGAAAAATAATTCCCCATTGCTCAAGAAGCAGCTGAAATTCCGGTAGTACCTCAAAGGACAGGAACGAACTGCCCAGGCTGCCCTGGACATGTTGTGGAACTGGACAGCTGCTGGGCAGTTACGGATGGCTGGAGCCTATGAGCTATTCAGGCCGAAAGGGGTGAAAAAAATCTGGGCAGTGGAGGTTTGGAGGTCCTACATCACCCCAAATCATTCTTTTATTTTGTGGTTGGGTGCTGCACTTAAATATTAACAGAACTTTTGTGTTTTTTTGTGGAGCACACACCGAAATGAACCAGCACTTATTCTTTCAATGTTCATTGACTTCGGCCACTTGGGGTTAGATTAGAGCTTGGTTGGGGATTAAGAGATCGACGATGACGTTGTCTAGCACGTTGAAGTGGATTAATAAGGAAGCCCAAGGTACCCCTTGGCAGAGCGAAGCCACGAAAATTGTACTTGCTAGCATCGTTTACCACATAGGGACGGCGAGGAATAAGAAAATTTTTAAAGATCACATTCTAATAGCATAGTGAGACAGATCGAAACACATGTATACAAAGTTATGTTTGCATTGTATCCTAATATTTTGATTCATTTTAAGTCTTTAGCTTCGGGTCTTCATCTTATTGTTTGTACATCTTTTGATTTTGTAAACCCAGGTATGCTCGGTGTACCTGTACATGAGTTTTGATCAATACAAGTTCAAATTTATCGATATTAAAAAAAAAAAAAAAGATCAGCTGAAGATCAAATTGCAACCATGATGGCCATATCCGACTGATGAATCTGAAAATGTTATGATCTCAGAGGTCTTGCCTACTTTGTTACGACTGAAAAATATGCCCCCGTTTGACATCCATTAATTTTTTTTTTCTCATTTTCATTCTTCATTTTAACAATACATTCTCCTCCAAATAAAATAATATTACACACAAATCAAAACTTTTTATCACTTTTCCACCACACATTCTCACATCAATCACTATTCCAAAATTTCTATTCTCCTCAAAATTAGATTCAAACACAAGCTATTATATAACTCGCGCAAAGAAGTATTAGAGTAACAACTTGGCGTCTTGGCATGCTTGCCATTAGGAGTCTTTTATATTAATCGTTACGGGTACTTCTTTATGTGTTTGGCCGCCTCCACTCATGGTTGGCAACGTTGTTGACCTATAATTCTTGTCGATGGACCTTTCTTGAAGCTTAAATATGATGAAACATTGTTCACTACTTGTGCTAAGGATGCTAATGAGTAAAATTTCCATTTAGCTTTCGGGTTTGGAGATCTATAGGCTACTGCTGCAGCCTGCATGGGGGTGGATCTTTTGGAATTGGAGATTCTGAGTATCCGTGTATACCTTCAAGGCGAAGTGGGACATGAAAAATGGTCTCGAGGTTTTTCTAGTGGTCATCACCTAATCGGTATTCAATAATGACAACTGATATAGACAAATCAATAAATGCAACCGATGTGCAAGCGGGTAAAGGATATGCTAGTCACCCGTTTGATTGACTGGTTGATGTCAATGGTGCAAAGATGTCGAATTACAGCTGGATCTACATCCACAAATGCTCGCAACTATAGCAGAAGATCGACTGAGGGAACATAATGCATTGTCATTATCAATGACAGTAAGAAATATTATCATTTCCACTCTTGTTGTCGGTAATATTGGTTGCGAATAGCATATTTGGCTAAGCTTAAAATAAAGGTAAAGTTCGTCTTTGGATAACTTACTTTTTTCTCACTTTCAAGTTTCAAGTATAAAGGTAACTTTTTTCTTACTTTCAAAATAACTTATTTATAGCCAATTTGGAGTCGAAGACTTGTGTTTGTAGGGAGTTTCAAGTCTATCAATTACTATGTTTGACTCATGCTTTGGCTGCAATAAATTTGTGCAAATTGAATGCACGTGATTATTGCTCCAGCTACTATAAAAGAAAAATGCTATTCATCCCGAGTGGGGATGCATCTCCAGTCTATGTGGATGTAAATGATTGGTTAAAATATATGTGAAATTAAATGATTTATTTAATTTTACATATTATTTAATGCCAAATAAACGTCACATAGATTGGGGATGCATCCTCAATGAGGATGAATGACATTTCTCACTATAAAAAGGTGGCCTTTTGACCTTGTCCATGTCATATGCAGCGAAATTTCATTCCATGGGGAGTGAATCAAGTTGGGTTATTAGATCAAAGTCAGAATAATTTTAGCCCCTAAAGGGAGACGATGGTCCGGTATACCAAGGAAACGAAGGAATAACTTCGTGCTCGAGATGCGAGTACGGGCATAATAAAAGGACTCGTCAAAATACAATCGAGTAATTCAATCGATTCTTCTTTTGCGCTCTAACCACATGAGTTAGGCCTTCACCTCAAGGATTATGATTTTTTTTAAATAGATTTTTTTTAAATGTAAAATGAAAAACTTAAAAAAGAAAAAGAAAAAAATTGTCACTCGTCCCTTGTCCTCTCTCAACAGTCTCAAGCTCTCGATCTAAACTATGTTTGGATGCATGTGGGTCGATGTTAGGATGCAGGTGGATCAATTTGAGCCTCAATTTACTTGTTTTGACCTAGATAATCTAGTATGTTTGGCTAGGGCAAAGAAAAAGTTAATTTGTATAAAAAAAAATAAAATAATTTAATTAATTCAATATAAAAAATAAAAAAATTATTTAGTTTCGATTCTTATTCGGTTATTCGGTTCTTGGTCTAAACCCGACCCAAACCCATCGGTTCTCGATTCGGGTACCCGTTCGGGTATTTAATTTATGAAAAACCGCTCGATTCGGTTCAGTTCGGTTCGGGTTCGGTTCGGTCCGATTCGGTTCGGGACTTTTGGACACCCCTAGCATATTTGGCTAAGCTTAAAATAAAGGTAAAGTTCGTCTTTGGATAACTTACTTTTTTTTCACTTTAAAGTTTCAAGTATACAGGTAACTTGTTCCTTACTTTCAAAATAACTTATTTATATCCAATTTGGAGTCGAAGACTTGTGTTTGTAGGGAGTTTCAAGTCTATCAATTACCATGTTCGACTCATGCTTTGGCTGCAATAAATTTGTGCAAATTGAATGCACGTGATTATTGCTCCAGCTACTATAAAAGAAAAATATTATTCATTCTCAGTGGGGATGCATTCTCAATCTATGTAAATGTAAATGATTGGTTAAAAGATAAGTGAATTAAATGACTTATTTAATTTCACTTATCATTTAATGTCACATAAATGCCACATAGATTGGGGATGCATCCCCAGTAGGGATGAATAGAATTTCTCACTATAAAAAAGTGGCCTTTTGACCTTGTCCATGTCATATGCAGCAAAATTTCATTCCATAGGGAGTGAATCAAGTTGGGTTATTAGATCAAAGTCAGAATAATTTTAGCCCCTAAAGGGAGACGATGGTCTGGTATACCAAGGAAACGAAGGAATAACTTCATGTTCGAGATGCGAGTACGGGCATAATAAAAGGACTCGTCAAAATAAAATCGAGTAATTCAATCGATTCGTCTTTTGAACTCTAACCACATGAGTTAGGCCTTCACCTCAAGGATTATGTTTTTTTTTTAAATAGATTTTTTTTTTTAATGTAAAATGAAAAACTTAAAAAAGAAAAAGAAAAAAATTATCACTCGTCCCTTGTCCTTTCTCGACTGTCTCAGGCTCTCGATCTAAACTATGTTTGGATGCATGTGGGTCGATGTTAGGATGCAGGTGGATCAATTTGAGCCTCAATTTACTTGTTTTGACCTAGACAATCTAGAATGTTTGGCTAGGGCAAAGAAAAAGTAAAATTACTTTTAATCAACATTTTTGTCTCCAAATCCATTTATAATTAGCTTTTTCTTTTATAACTTTTGTTAGTTACTGAAAAATTGATAATAATAACAAAAGTTGAAAACCTTAATAGTGTTTGTTTGACAATATTTAATTTATTTTATGATTTGTTACAGGATCATTTGCAATCACACATTTATACAATAAAATATTTTACACGTATATCAAAAATATTTTCCTACTCTGTTTGAGTTACAGTAAAAATTTTATTCTCATTCTTCTACTTATTTTTAATTACACATTCTTCAATAAAATAATATTTTTTATCAAATCAATAACTTTTGCTCATTTTCAATCACACATTCTCTATCAGTCTACTATTTCAAAATACATTCTTTCAAAATAACGTGGCTCACACACACCACACATTCTCTTGAAAATCATTATTCAATACTCTTTTTTCTATTAAAATGGTTGTAAGACAGGCTCTAGAAGTGTGTTTTGAATACTCTTATCTCTTCGAGTTTCATTGATTTAAAAATATTTTTAAATACTTATGTATTTAAAGGTCTATTTGAGCCCTATTTTTTTTTTAGGTAAAATAAATTTTGGAATAGTAAATTGATGGAGAATGTATGATTAAAAATGAATGAAAAGTTTTTAGATCATGTGTAATATTATTTTATTAAAAAATATGCATTTAAAAAAAGGATAAAAAATGTATTTAAAAAAAAATTGAAAAATAAACAAGGTAAAGCAATCAAATTATGCTCTTAAAATCTTCGCTAGACTCGTGGCGGCAGAAAAGTTGGGGGAAACCCTCAAGAAAACACTGTAAATCGCCGTAATAAGGTGGTAGAAAATGGAGCTGTCGAGGGAGGAGACGGAGGAGAGGCCCCGAAACGACACCGTAAGTGATGATGACGGCGATGATACTCCGATGCTCAGCTCTCAAGCACTGGAAGCACTCAAGGAGTTCCTGGCTGAACAGAACCGCTTGGTGGCGGAAGCTCCTCAGGAGGAGGAGGTGGCACTGGTGTCGGAGGACTGGCGGCTCAGCCAGTTCTGGTATGACCGCGACACCGCCGAGACAATTGCTCGAGAAGTAATTATTCTATGCCGAAACGTGGACTCCCCTTCCGTTGCTTGCATTGCTTGCCCGACTCTCTATGCATATCTCAAGGTACTTTACAGTAGTACTGGTTAAGGTGCCGTAATAAAGGTCCAAGATTTGGAATATGATGTACAGCATTGCAATTGAATTGCCTAAACTGTAGGGAGAAGCCAGAGAAATCATTTAAATTTTATCCTCAACGCTCTTCAAACTGGATTCATTTTTTGATCTAAGGTCTCACATGTGCAAAATGTTATAAAAATGGGTGACTGTGAGACTAAAACTTGGGTCTTTAAGCCTGATTTTTATACCACATTGTCCATATCTTTTGAAAGCTTAAGCTGTTATCAGAGAGGGTAACTTCTGTTCATTTTAATATCGTCTAACACAAATTAGAAGATTAATGATTTATTTGCAGGTACAATTATTTTCAATATTGTGCTTGGTAATAGGTGTTTTCACTATTTATTACTTTGTTGTAATTGGTCAATGTGATGGCTTTTATTTTTCCTTCCATTTTTATTGGATATTTTGAGGAAATCAGAATCATATTGGCAAGGTACTGTTGTGGAAAGCATAGCTTATGATACATTGACCTAATATTTACATGGAGTTGGAATTAATGTGCCTAGTAATTTGTATGCTTACTCTTTTTGTTATTGGAAATTTCAGAAAATTGGTCCAGAAGTATCTGCACAGCTTCTGGAGTATGATAAAAGATTTGAGCAATATGGGACGGAGTTTACATTCTATGACTACAACCAGCCTGAGGATCTTCCATTATCATTAAAGCATTCATTTCCAATTATAGTTGCAGATCCTCCTTACCTGGTAAAAGTTTATCTTGTACTACCAAATTGAATATGTTTTTGATAATTTAAAAGCATTCTCCATATAGAATATACTAAGATGTAATTCGTCAGATGTTTGTGAAAAAAAAAAAAAAATTATTTTAGATGGTCTCAACTCTGAAGCTGGAGGTGCTGAATGTACAAAATACCGTTGGAAGCTAAATTATCATTTTGGTTCCTGAACTTATTTTGGGTGCACACTTACTCACTCCACTTGCTACCAGTTTAAAACTCTCATCCACTTACTCATCCAACTTGCTTTCACACGTTTTTGAGGAAAGAATAGGAAATCAACATTTAGGTGCTTTATCTCTCCAGGTATTTCCTCCCAAACTATGTTGGCCCAGTTAAATTAAGTAATAATCCTTTAATGCAATTTGTTCCAGCCACAATGTCCCAAAATTAACTAGGTACCCAACCAAAAGTTTATAAAATTCTAAAGCAAAAAGGGAGAGCCTGCCTCTGCCTACTTCACCGGCCAACCATTTCCCATCTTCAATCACCATCAGGTCTCTTTATTCTCAAGCACGTATTCCAACCTGATCGTCCTTCCTGTCTTCTTTTTCTCTCCTTGGCTGGCACCTCTTTCTACTCTAAAACAGAACCAGCACCTACCTCTCGGAAAACCCAGATACTGAATTCAATCCTTGTCCACTGACACAAATAAATCTTGTTAATAATTAGATTGCAATTAGATTGTCAGGGCATGGATTCAAATGGATATTAATCAGTCCAGAGAAGGGGTTGCAGTAATACTCAGTGGTTGCATTTTCTCTCTGTTCCGGTTTTTCTTGTATCTGTTGATGATGGCTAATGGGGGAATGGTGGGTTTGGTGGTGATGAACTCGTGATGCTAGTATACTCACTTTTGGATGACAAATCACTATGTGAATGGTCTCTTTTGGCTGCACATTTGATATTTTTACCTTCCACGTTAGCTACTGTTTATTTGATCAATGAATACCAGGCACATTTCCAGTGATGAATGAAGCACTAGTAGAGTCACATACACTATCCATTTATAAGAAAATGATAAAGGATGCAAAGAAAATGAGGAAATACTAATCAATATGCATGGAGGTTTGGTTGCTCATGAAAGTGGATTTGTTTTATTATGATGGTGGAAGTGGGGAAGGAGGCGGTTGAAATATTTTTCTATTTTTGGGGCTTGCTTATTATAATATTCTTAATAAATTTCTTTCCTTCTTAAAGAGAGCTAGATATAGATGGTTGGGACATATTAAGACAAAACCGCTCGTATCTAGCCTGCGCAAACAGCCGATCTGGATGATTGTTTAATTCTGGACAATTTTGTGAGTTAAAAGGGTATAGTAGGACGAAAAGTTGAAGCATGATAAATAATATGAATTTGAAACTGTTGGGGTGTTATGACTTCCCTTAGCTCTGAAATTAATACAGAGTTTATTGGAAGCACATATTACACCAGCAGAATTGGAAATGAAGAAGAAACAAATATAAAAACCAGCAAAAACAAATGCGAAAATCTGCAAGAAAAACGCATATAAATTAGCAAGAGGAAGAATGACTTCCACAGCCTTTATTATTCACACAAGACTTTACATGATCTATATACAGTGAGAGATCAACAGAAAGAATTTGCTACAGATTTTTCCAAGAGTTTCACTATATCTCATTTTCTATCTACTTTGTCTACAGAATTCTAATTGTTTCTTTATCTCTCTTGAGCTCTTTGTTCTTCACTGCCTAATGCTGCTATTTATAGACACAAAATGGGCATCAAATCAGTTATTAACTACCTAACTACTTAAATGAATAGGCTCCTACCGTTAAAGATTCTAATGGTAAATGACAGTTGAAGAAACCAGTAATAAAAGACTCCTCTTGCAACAAAATTTATCCAATGGCTGAGTTATCTAAAATCTGAATCCAAGGAATCAGCTTCTTACAATCTCCACCTTGATTCCTTGAGGGGAATTTACAGATCAAGCTCTACTGGCTGATGATTAGGCAGCCGTATATCCTCAGTAATCGTTTCAGCAGAATTGACCTCAGATTCGATTTCAGTTCCAACCTCAACTTCACTTCCTTGCAAGATATAGATGCCTTGTTGTAGGACTCCCTTCATGATTACCACAGAATTTTCCATCACATATAACACTCAACCTTGAGCTTTGTACACACTCCCACATTTGTCAAGTGTTCCAAGTAAGATTAGATTTCTTTCCAGACATGGTACATGCCTCACTCCACCTAGGACTTTTGATGAACCATCCCACATTTTCATTTTGATAGAACCAACACCAATCACTTCACAGGTGTTGTCATTTTCAGCACTTTGCTTTCATAATTTGGTTTGTAATCAATGAAAAATTCTCCTCTTGGTGTCATATGAAATGGACAACTTGAGTCCATTATCCAGATATTGCTGAGGCTTGTACTTGTTATAGCAAGTACTTCAGCAACTTCACAGTCTCCATCTTGCTTGTTTTGGTTTCCTTGCTTCAGCCATCTCGTTTCTTTGTGGGCAATTCTTCTTGAAGTGTCCTTCTTGATGACAGATCTAGCACAACTTATTTCTTCTCCTGCCTCGCACACTCAGCACTTCTCCGGTCATCTTGGCAAGATTTCCATTTAATTTTAGGTCCAATTCCTTTGAGTAGGCTGTTGGCCTGCTGCAACAACTTCTTTTAGGGTCAATGATTCTTTGCTATACTTGATGGTATCTCTAAATGATCATAGGATTGAGGCAATGAGTTTAGCAAGAAAATTGATTGATCTTCTTCATCAATCTTGATTTTAAGATTTTCCAAATCAGAAACCAGCTTTGTGAACTCATCAATATTGTCATCAATTGACTTGGGTTCATCCATCTTGAAACTGTAGAACTTTTGCTTCAAGTAGATTCGGTTTGGTAATGCTTTAGTCAAGTAAAGTTCCTCCAGTTTGCTCCACATTTCAGAGGCCTTTTCTTCCTTGATTACCTTCCTTAAAATTGTATCACTGAGGCTAAGAATGATAGTGTTTCTTGCCTTCTTCGGGATGTCAGCCTGGTTTGATGCATCAGTGTCAGATTCTTTTTTCAAGGCTTCATCCAATCCAAGGTTACCAAGGTGTGCCATCATCTTTTCCCTCCATAGATTGAAATCATTCTTGCCATCAAACTTTTCCACTTCAAACTTGGATGTAGACATGGTGTGATTGAGATTCTGGCCAAGAATCTTCCCTTTCAAATGGTGTGTGCTAGTTATCAAGAAGAAGAAAAAAAATAAGGCAGAATTTCGGACTTGTTTTGTTACTTCTTTTTCAGGTTGCCAAAGCTCGGCTTTGATACCATTTGTTGGGGTGTTATGACTTTCCTTAGCTCTGAACTTAATACAGAGTTTATTGAAAGGACATATTGCACCAACAGAATTGGAAATGAAGAAGAAACAAATATAAAAACTAGCAGAAGCAGATGCAAAAATCAGCAAGAAAAACGCATATAAATCAGCAAGAAGAAATCGAAGAACAGATATGGAACAGGAAGAATGACTTCCACAGCCTTTATTATCCACACAAGACTTTACATGATCTATATATAGTAAGAGATCAACAGAAAGAATTTGCTACAGATTTTTCCAAGAGTTTCACTCTATCTCACTTTCTAATCGAAGAACAGATATGGAACAGGAAGAATGACTTTCACAGCCTTTATTATCCACACAAGACTTTACATGATCTATATATAGTAAGAGATCAACAGAAAGAATTTGCTACAGATTTTTCCAAGAGTTTCACTCTATCTCACTTTCTATCTACTTTGTCTACAAAATTCTAACCCTTTCTTTCTCTCTCTCGAGCTCTCTCTTCTTCACTGCCTAATGTTGCTATTTAGAGACGCAAAAGGGGCATCAAATCAGTTATTAACTACCTAACTACTCAAATGAATAGGCTCCTACTATTAAAGATTCTATCTGTAAATGACAGTTGAAGAAACCAATAACAAAAGGCTCCTCTTGCAACAGAATTTATCCAATGGCTGAGGTGTCTAAAATCCGAATCCAAGGAATCAACTTCTTACAGAAACTCTCTTTTACCTTGTATCAGTTGGTATAGGGTTGCACATTCCACTTTGGTAGCTTACTGTACTGCGTACTTGGTCGGCCATGTTTGCGTGTGAATGGTTGGCTTTTTGAATGTCATGAATGGGAAACAGTTGGATCATGAATCACATAAATCCAACCTTTTAATCTAGATAAACTTATATTCTCCTTCTATGTTAGTGTCATTTTTAACGGCAATTATATTATGAGATGGATGACTCGTGCAGCTTTTGGCATTTGAGATATTCATTTGAATTGGAAAAGCCACCAATATATGTTCCGTTATCGCAAGGTTGCTATAGCGAGAATAATATTTCTTTCTCTTTGGGCGAGTAATGATAAATAGGTTTACTTCCATTTTCGTATATTAAGTCCCTGGCGGAAATTTTATACCTTTACCTTCCTCTTTAACTTTATTTGATAACAGATGAATAATTACTTCTGAATTGTTTCAGCTGTAAATTAAAATTATCTGTGTAATATTCATGACGTTGATGATCTTATTCAATGGATGGCTGTGGCAACAGAGCAAGGAGTGCTTGGAGAAAGTTACTGAAACAATTTCATTTCTCTCAAGACCAGGGCAATCTTACTTGCTTTTACTCACTGGTAAGACATTGATTTCAGTTCAATTTCTCTCTTATCATCCAGTCAAAGAAAAGTTAACTAACTCTATGAAGAAAAATAAGTTTTAATTGTTCTACACGTGTTCATGGCATTTGTATATCTGTTTGTACCGATTCTTGAAGCTTGTTATTATCATCTACAGGCTTATATTGGCTAAACTTTTACTCTGTCTAGACAGAAGAATCTGTTTGGTATAACTATACAATCTTATTAAAAAGGTTATGCCTTCACTATTTCTACTTTTGATTTCATGTAGGTGAGGTTCAAAAGGAGAGGGCTGCAGAGCTCTTGGGTTTGCGCCCATGTGGCTTTCGACCCCATCACGCTAGCAAACTTGGCAATGAGTTTCGGCTGTTCACAAACTACAATCCTGGGACAAGACTAGATGGGTGGGAGGCCGAGTAAAGGTGCATTTACACTTTGCTTGTACCAATTTCTAATTTAAGTTTTTTTGATGAGCTTTTCTTTGAGCTCATTATGTATGAAGTAACAAGAATTTGTTTGCTATCGTTACAGACTTGATCGTCAAATAATTATTAATCGCTTCATATTTGTTCACTGCTCATTTTTTCGTCTCTCTTTCTCTTCCTTACCACATCATTCTTGTTATATTAAAAGTGGTTGCTGATTTCCCATCACGCTGGCTAAATATCTTCCCTTGCTCCATAGTTAAACCAAACCTATTCTGGAAATAGATTCTTTATCCAGGGATACGATTATACCTGATGTAGTTACAACGTCCAGTTGAGCGTTTGAAGATTCTTGGGCGGTAGAGTTATTTCCAGGGACAATAGACAGAAAATTCTCCTCCTCGATAAATCAAGATTGTAGCATATACCTAATTTGAAATGCTACCTGAGGTCTGTTCTTATTGTTCCTATATTTAACCTGCCTCTAAGTTGCATCATGCTTTTCAATTCGAAGTATTGAGGGGATTCTCCGTGTAAAACTTTAACTTGTATTTGAGCTGTTAATGCATTGTGATTAGCTTTATAGAAATTTTCATTTCCTTGGGTTTGCTTTGCTCTGAAGCACAGTATTTTGACCATAGATAACTGCAGAAACTAAGCCCTTGTTTGGTATTGATAAAAAATCAGATTTTAATTTAAGTCAAAGTAAAAAATATTTTGGCGTCTTCGGATTTTGCTCAAAAGTTTGATCCAATCGAATAAGGAAAAATCTTTTTTTTTTTTTTTTTTGCCCTCTAATTGTCGTACATATCCTAAACCTAAAGGAGAGGATGAGAATGGCAAGGGACTATATTTTATTGTTTTCTTAGCCTCTGTTTGGTACCCATTCTTTTTTTCATTTTCATTCTTCTACTAATTTTCAACCACACATTCATCAATAAAATAATATTTTTCATCACATCAATAACTTTTTCTTCATTTTCAACCACAAAAAAAGTGTGATTTAACACAACGCATGCATTCTTTTCTAGAATAATGGTTACCAAACGGTGCCTTAAGTTAAAATTTACCAAACGGTGCCTAAATAATGTGATTATTTTGGGCAAGAAAATTTGGGTTTGACATGTGGTGTCCATGCACACAGAAGCGTCTGTTTGTCATGCAAAAAAAGACGTCATATAGAAGCCACGTTGTACGTAAGCTAGAGTCCAACTGAACAATATATAAGCTAAGGGTGGTGGACATAGAACAGCAAAGGAAGAGATGGAGACTAGCAAATTTGGTGCAACGGCGGAGCAGCAGCCGATAGCGGCTGAGACCGGCGACAGTGGTATAATGGCGGAGCAGCAGCCAGTGGAGGGGCCGGAGGGGAAGAAGGTGATGAATTTACTGGTGGCTATTGATGATAGTGACGAGAGTTTCTACGCTCTTGAATGGGTTCTTGACAAGTTTTTTAAGCATAGTGGTGGCACCACTACTCAGACGGCGGAGCAGGAGTCCAAGGTGGTAACCATAGTCCATGTCATGGAGCCCCTGCCTCGCTATGCCTTTCCTGGTGGATATGGTTCGTTTCTCATTAAAAAGTTCCTAAGCGTATCATTTTTTTCAACTAAAAAGTTACTTATCATGAGTAATAGTTAAAAATTTATGGATTAAAATTTCACTTAAAAATTTTAGATGAAACCCAAACAGAGACTAGGAATTGATCACACTGAATTTCATTTTTAGCTCAAAAGAATTTTGTTGTTGGAAATTTCTATTTCGCCGTTCAATCTACAACATATCGTTGACTTAATTTTTTGTTGGTATTTTTCGTCAAATAAGGAATTAAGACCCCGTTTGGACCACATTATTTTTTTCATTCTCATTATTCTACTCATTTTCAACCACATATTTTTTCAATAAAATAATATTTTACATCACGTCAATAATTTTTCCTTCTTTTTTAACCACATATTCTTCATAACATAACTTAAAAAAAATGCATTATCTCATTTTAATGTGTATCAAACGGGCTCTTAACTACCAAATTCAAATCTCGATGATGTTTTCAAGCCGAAATTTAATTCTCGCAATTTTTTTCTTGCACCATATACGGTCCGGATTAAAATTTGATTTTAATTCAAGTTAAAGTCAAACAATAAATATTAATCACGTCTTTCATAGGTCACACAACTTTTCAACTACACATTTCAAAAACTTCAATCACAGTCTACTAAATTTAATTTTAATCTCCACCAAATACCCTCTAAATCAATTATTTGACTAAGGACATGTTTGGTTGGTTAGAAAAAAAACATTTATGTTATAATAAATTATTATTTATAGTAGTTGTAAGATGGGTGCTCGTTTGAAATTCAGTAGTGGAATCTGCAAGCAAAACCCAAGAGGAAA